TAATTCAATACATTTCATACACTCGACTTTGGGTTTGTAACCCTAATTCGTCCGGTTCAAACTCTTATTCGACCAGAACCCACCTATTGGACCTAATAGGCCAATAAAACTTTAACTTTATTCTTTTGGGTTAAGAATCCTTATTTGGGCCCTAATTGGACCCACATTAATTAAAATATAGCATTTGGTCCATAATGGGCCTAGAATGTCTCATATCATTTTTATGGGCCATATTGGGCCAAAACCCACATAAATGATGCTAATGGGCCGTAAACGATAGTCTTGGGCTTCATTAGGCCGTGAACCCTCATAAGGACCCAATGGGTCGGAAAATTTTATTTGGGCTCCATAAATTCGAACTAGGTCAAGGAAAGGCCTAACTATCTCATTTCCTTTTTTCCAATCCCATTCTCGGCCCAATTTAATTAAAAAAAAGGTTTATTTTGCAAGTGCCACCTCAATGTTGCATGGTGGTCACCCATGTACCATAACCACCATACAAAAATGTAAGTTTCCCATGCATCTAGGAAAGTTTTCTCTCTCCCTCTCCCCTCTTCAAACTCACAGCCATAAGGCCTCCTCACCATCACTCCTCATTTTCAAACTCAACAATTTCTCTCATCCTTTCCTCCTAAAAACTCAAAGAAATCCTCTCATAATTTCCTCCTAAATTTTGTGAGTTGTGTGGGTGTTTCAAGAAGACCTCATCAAAAACTCATCCATTTTGGTAAGCTACTATTACTCAAGAAGTTTAACTTCAAGTTACACCATAAATCTCTTCTTAACCCACATTATTTAATGATCTATGCTCTTAGAACATTTTAGAGCTCGAAAATCATCTCAAGATCACACCTATGGCTGAGATCTCCTCATTTCATCACCAAAAACCAAAAACATCAAAGCAATGTAAGTCCATACCCCTTGATTTTGGTTTTATATTGTTTTTGCGGGAGGATACAAGTTGCTTTGTGTTAGATCTATATGCGTATGCATGTATATGTGTGTTTTATGTGATTTATTGTAACATCCCGAATTTCTGAAGTACGATTTAAGAGTTTAAAGTGTAATTTTTAAGAACGGACTCGACGAGTAGGTATGCTTAATCGTCGAGTCGGAGCGGGTTTGGGTTGCGAATTAAGTGACGAACTCGCCGAGTCGGAAGCTGGACTCGACGAGTTGGTGTTGGGATGAGAAAAACTCTACTCTTAGGGTTTGCACCCTATTTAAAGGACTTAATGTCCTCTCCTCAGCTCCCTTAGCCCCCTTTGAGATCCAATAAACCCTAGCTCGTGTGTATAAGGCCATTGGAGGGAGTTTGAAGCTTTGAGAGGTGTTCTAGTGGAAGAAACTTGAAGATCAAAAAGGTTTTCATCAAGAAAGTAATGTAGATCCAAAAACTACTGCAATGTTGGGCACATCTTGGAGGTAATGAGTTGTTACCTTTCCTTTGTTGCTCCTAGAATTATTTTTGAATGAGATTTGGGGCCATTTTGATATGATTGGGATCCACTTCGGGTTTGGAGTTCAGATCTGAGGTTGCTACTTCAGATCTAGACTTGTATTGGTCCAGAAAGTCATAATGCATCAGTTATTGAATTGTGGGGGAAGCCCTTTTGTCCAAAACCCAAGCCCTAGTGTGTTTTGGGCCTATATCTCCTTGGTTTCACATAAATTTTGCAACTTTATGAGAGTATTAGACTGTAGAAGAGTGGATCTATGGATTGGAACCCTTGTATGGCTCGAAAAGCCATTGTGTGGGTTAAGAACTGGAGAGAGACTCAGCAAGTCACATGCGTGTACTCAACGAGTTGTATGAACATAAGCATGGACTCAGCGAGTTGAAGGAACAACGCAGCGAGTCAGTTGAAGATTGCCATGGACTCGGCGAGTCTATTCTTGGACTCGGCGAGTCTGGTCGCAGAACCCAACCCCTTTTGATTAAAGCTTTGGATTGGTGAGTCGGTTGGCGACTCAGTGAGTTGGTCAGGACGGAATTCCGAGTTGAGTCGTGTTACATGAGTTACTGAGTATAGGGACTCGACGAGTCGACGGGTTGACTCGGCAAGTAGAATCAACCAGGAAGGTTGACTTTGACTGAGGAGCTTGACTTTGACCAAGAGTTGACCAATTTGACTTCCAAGGGTATTTTGGTAATTTTTGTATTTATGGAATTAGTTTTTTGGTAGTATCCTATGGTGAAGTTCGTGTCGGTGGTCGGAGCTGCTCGGTCTTATCTCTTCAGTCGGAAATTGCAGGTGAGTTATCCTCACTATATCAATAGGGTCTAAGGCACCAAGGCTGGCCCTTTTTGTTGTTATATTGGTTACAGTATGCTACATGTGGTTATGTTCTGTTATATTGGTATCAGAATAGATAGTATGTTGTTATGCTCATGTGATCCGTTAGGATTGGTATGTTAGTGACCTGGTTAGGTCGATGCCTTGGTCATGAAAGATTGCTATGATCGATGATCTGTGAGATAGTTATATCTGATTTTTGTACTTGTACTGTTGATGTGCTTATTGATCTGTTAGGTCGGTGTCCTGGTAATTAGGACAATATTATGTCAGTAACCTGATTTAGGTCGGTATCCTGGTATATAGGATGATGATATGTTAGTGACCAGTTCGGTCGATATCCTGGTAATGGTGATGCTATGCTTTATGATCTGCTAGATCGATTTGTTTGCCTATGGACTGTTATGTGATTTCCTATTATATTTACATATGGTTATTTGCTTGATGTTGGGTTGAGGCGGTCCTGCTTTGTGCTGAAGGCTAACATACCCTATGAGCGGTCCGGATAGATTGTAGGCCCGTATGGTGGTCCAGTCATACTGAAGGCTTAGATAGATCCAGATAGACTGAAGGCCCGATACGGGCGGTCCAGTCATATTGTAGACTTAAAGAGTGGACCAGGTGAACTGAAGGCCTATGAGGGCGGACCAGTCACGCTGCAGACTTGAGAGGCATGGTTGTTCTGTATTGTGATACAATATGATATGATTATGGTTGTATGTGGTTGGTATTTTGGGGGTAACTCACTAAGCTTTCGGGCTTACAGTTCGGTGTTTTGTTTCAGGTACTTTAGGAAATCGTGGCAAGGTGAAGGCGTGATTGTACCGCTCCTCATGTTTTATGATTTATGTGATATGGTTCTAGGGAATACTCTGATGTTTAAACTATTTTTGAAAACAAATGTATGAACTTAATGGTTTTTGAATGAATTAAAATGTTTTAATTTGGCTCGAATTTTATGGTCGTTACAAGTTGGTATCAGAGCCATGGTTTGAGTGAATTGGAGGAACATTTATGTATATCCAGTCTCAAATCAAGGAGGGATTTACAAAATGGTTTTCAAAAGGTTTTCGAAATAAGTAAAGGAGGATGCAAAAGGTAAGATCAGCCAGAGCTAGTAAGTAGACCCCAAAATACCACACAAGTTATTTGATTATGTGATATGATAGAACAGCATGCTAGTACTAGGCTAGGGATCTCCAGGAATTGCATGATAGAATTTCCTGATTCCATGATGCCTATTAGCCTAGGGTTTTCTTTATATGAAATTGACATCCTTACTGTAGTTGTTTAGTGTATGCATCGCGGATGTGCATAATCAAGATCTTATAGCCTGAGAATGTTTGATTCGACCTTAGGGTAAAATTAGATATTCGAAAGTCTATTGGGTCCAGCATTATGTGTGGCTAGTATACACTAATGTTGCAGGGTCGGTGGAAGTTTCATGGATTGGGTGGGTAGTGAGGGGCCGGGAGGCCAGATATGAGATGTCTAGCATTCCTATAGGAGTGAGGATTTAATCGCTCGCTACATTTATGTATATCGTTAGGGCGTTGTGATGATACTTGAGACAAATATGGGTAGGTGTGGAAGGTAGTATGGGCCCATACTACTGAAAGCACATGACCCATACACGTATCAAGGAAGTCACAACCCCTAGGGTTGGGTTTTGAAGTTGTTTCCCTATCATTATAAAGGTTATTAGAGATCTTTTGGTGTATTGCCAGAATGGTGGACACGAGACGTCTTGTGACCGGATCCAGGTTAGGATCGGGAGTTGGAAGTCAGGTTAGGCCAGCATTGTCAGAGGATAGTGTCAGGGATATCCACCGGGAGGAGACAATCGAGATTTTTCGGGGATAATTCCGAAGATGGTTGGGTCTTTCAAAGACCGCTATGGTTAAGTATTTTGTCGAGCGTCATGCAGACATTGCCGAGATGGTTGCCGCGACAGCTTAGCAACTGTAACAACGGCAAGGAGAAGAGCTGGACGAGCCTTCCAGGACTGGGACTTGTTATTGGTGCATAATCTGGTGATCAGAAGGATACAATTATCTGGGAGCAGGAAGATGATCTGTACTCGTTGTTTTTCTGTGGGTTGATCGGGAGAGTCTAGCTTGTAGGTTTAAAGATTTGAGGCTCGGGGGTTTGTTCGAGGCCGGGTTATGGGTCGTGGGAACTCCGGAAAAGGGTGATGATTATGTTCAGCTGGGGTTTTGCAGCTGGAAGTGAAATGGTTGATTGATGAATTGGACTATCGTTTGGTAGGGCAAGGATTGCACTCTCTCAGTTTCCAAGCTCGAAAGAGTGAGCAGGCGTGTGACCCCAGGATCAGGTGTATTCCAGCTCAGGGTTAGTTGGTTACAGGAATAAGCAGCATTATTTCAGCGCTGGTGAGCTCAGGACAGTCAGCGTGGCATAAGTGTTGTGAGGTCAGGTTTTCCTTGGATCTCTTGTATCGGATGGATAGGACTGTTTGTGCGATCTATTACACCTTTGGGACTGTACACTAT